TCTTATGTACCTTACAGAATCCCTGTTTCAATTAGATTTACCCATTATCTCTAAATAAATTTTGTTTCTTTAAATCTTGCTTCCCGTCATTAAGACTTCTCATCCCTTCCTTTCTCCCTTGCTTATTCTTCTCCTTACCCTCTTTACTCCTTTGTCTCTCCACCTGCCTTTTCTTCTTCTGCTTTCCCCCTTTCTGTTGTTTTCTAACCTTGTATCCACCTTTCAACTCATTTTTATCTTTTTTGGTTGTTTTTTTAGATCTTAAAATCCCTTTTTTCTTTTCCTCCTTCTTCTCCTCCCCAAATAGACTCACATGTTCATCAAAGATGGTTTCTTCTTTGTCCCAATCATCCTGCTGCACAATCGATTCTCCATAAGTACGTACCGCCATTTCTAGAGATTGAAAAAGAATGCCCAAAGTATCTTTCCAATCTTGTTCTTCCTTTTTATATTTTTCGTATTCAGTTTTGGATTCATCCAAAGATAATGCCATCATAAAGAGGAAAAAAATTTCCCAAAACAACCACCCGAGTGTTTTTAAGCAAAAAAAAAAAAAAAAAGTGCCTGTTCTTGTGCTGCTATGATCAGTACCACAGTGTTGTCTTTTATTCCAGTATGACTCGACACTTTGAGTCCAGCCAACTAAATATATTCTATTTAAATATATATTCTTTGTCTTCTCAATAGAAAGAGAATTCCCCTCACCTACAGCACTAAAATACCATCTATTGTTGTGCAACTCTTCTTTCCATTAGGTTAGCAAAGAAAATACCACAAAATATTAGAATAGCATGATTAATAAATACAAACAAAATAACCAAAATAATACTTTATTATTAAAATTTAATAATAGTTATTTCTTCCTGAATTACTTTGATTGCAGATATGGTCAGATCTGTCCACTGTTGCCAAACAGGTTTTAGAGGAAAGAAATTAGGATTTCTATTGAAAGTATATAAAGCTGAGATAGTCTGCCTTTTATTTTTAGTTTAATTTATTTTTATACCAGAGGGTATGCTGATATTTACATCTTGCCCTGGTTTTATTTTTTTACATTCTCTCTTTTCTTTCAAAAATTAACAAACCCTTAGTGCTTAAGAGGTTAAAAAAAATGAAATAAGCAAGATTTTTTTTTCTCCCAAAAATACTTTTCTGGCCAGTTTTGTTGGTATGGATTTAAGGGTCTCTGAGAGCCACAAATAACAGGAGCAAGTGTTTTGGGGGAGTGGAGGGAACTAAATATTCATGTTTTACTAAATCTGCTGGTGCTTAACATGAATCTAAATTGGTTTGTAGAACTTTCTTAAGAATGGTCAAGTTTATTTCTGATTTATGAAATTTCTGTAACTCTAAAGGACTGAGAATTTTCCTAAACTGTGCCATCATCAGCAGTTAAAAGTTAAATGTAGAGTTTAGAGTTGTTTATAATGCAAGGCTTGTTAAAAAGAAAAAGAAAGAAGAAAGAACAATTTGAGCGGTAACGAGGGAGGGAGGAACCTCTTATTGTACATGTGCATAATCTTCTTTTATATTCCTAATGAACCTAATGATTTTAACATGTATATATCTGTGATATATACTTATTAACTATTAGATGCTGCCCTTTTATCAACTTATCATGAAAATGAAGATGCAGTTTAACTAAAGGCTTGGTGAATCTTAAGACATAATAAATAACAGTGTTTTTGACATTATCCATTTTGACATTTTACTGGAATTATAAAATTCCAGTAAATATCAATGGTATCCTGACATTTACACTAACAGTGATCCCTGACTGTTTCTTTTACTCAGGTACTACATTTTTAAAGTTGTTAGGACTGTTCATACAGTAAATGAAAGCATACCAATATGGTGCCTAAAGGCCACTCTTAAACTTATAATTATGGTACCTAATTATTACATATTATCTAGACCCATTTCAGTCTGGCTTCTGGCCAGATTACAGTACAGATTCAGCATTCATCACATTTGCTGATGATCTTTGGTGGAGCCAAGATGCAAGTGTTACATCTATCCCAGCGCTCCTTGATCTCTTGGTGGCTTTTAATACTTTTATCCAAAGTATCCTTCTGGAGCATCTGCGGGGCATAGGAGGCAAGGCACAATTCTCAGTGATTGGTTTCAGGGAGTAGTGACAGGAGAAGATAAATTGTATCCATGATGTATCTTACATGGGGTTTATCAAGGCTCAACACTCTGTTCAGCATCTCCCAAACACTGGGAAGATCATCTGCTATATGGTGTGCAGTATCTTCAGTATGTAGATGAATATTCAACATTACATATCCATCCAAGGCTGCACAGATGAAGCTGCCAATATATTGCCCAGTGCCTGGACACTGCAATTGCTTGTACTACTTCTATAATAACCAGATCTGCTAATCCATAGCTTTGGGGTTGTGACTAAAGTATTGAGATTGATACTGCACTGTATGTAGTTGTGACTGCTTACAGCATCCTATTGCACTATTACTAAACTTCTGCACTGTGGAACTGGCAGTGTAGATCCTCCAAACTCATACCACTGAGGTTAATATCAATAGCATTTAGACTTGTATATGACTTCATAGTGCTTTACAGCCCTCTCTAAGTGGTTTACAGAATCAGCAGATGCCCTTAACAATCTGAGTGCTCATTTTATTGACCTCAGAAGAATGGGAGGCTGAGTCAACCTTGAGCCAGTGAGAATGGAACTCCTGGCTGTGGGCAGAGTTAGCTTGCAATACTGCCACGGATTCATCATGGCTCTTCAAGGTAAGGTTCAAAAGTACTTTAGATTTCATGCCCATGATTGCCAAGAAAAATATAGGCTTGTCACTTACTCATATGGACAAACACATGTTAGATTTGAAACATGTGTGACATTACATTGCATCATTTTCACTTACTTTTAAGCTGCCCAATATCACCATGCAACAGCAACTGTGGAAAGGGCAAGGGGGTCAGTATGACATAAACTGTGGTGTTCTAATGCAAACCTGTATCTTTTCTATTTGTAATGTAATGTCAAATGCATATCCCAAAGGACAGAACTTGACACATTTTTTCCAGCACTGTGACATGAACAGTGAGAAATTGCTGGCCTTCTGACACTGGTAAGGATAGAAGACCTATAAAAATGGATCATTCCAGCTGCATAATCCAAGTCATTTCTTGAGTCCTGTTGGAGATTTCCCCAATAATGTGGTGGGCAGTTCTTCCACAAATCTGATTGTTGAGACACCATTTTTTTTAAAAAAAACAGCCTCTCTCAAACCATCAATCTCTTTATAAAGAGCTCTAGAAAATAAACAAGATAAGACTTATCTAGAATAATAGTAGCAGAAAACAAGGAGCAGATTAGATCAATCGCAGGTATGTATCCTTACTTGGCCCAAATTAAAGTGAAGCATTCTTACTTTTCCACTTTTATTATATTATCAGGATAATCCATTCATTGTTGAAAGTTTCTTTGCAGAGAAAATAATTTATATTTGTTCAGAGATTGATATCACAGTTTAACATGATAACTGTTTGTTTGACTATTTGGTTTTGCTGATCTTGTGGAAGCTGAGGAAACAGGTTATCTGCTGTATGGGGCTCTCATATGTGATCTGGATTCATATATTTTTTTTAACTTCTTAGCTATCTGACAGAGGCATCATGTGGCTAGAATTGGGATGTGCTACTTACCCTTGAGGCAAATATCGACCTTCTCCTGAAAAAAAAATCTAGCCATTCACTTTGTTACAAACCTTTCCTTTCTGGGCAAACTGTTAGATTATACGAGATTGAATCAGCTACAGAGGATCCTAGATGAAGTGGATTATCTAAATTCCTTCCTTTCTAGATTAAGTCCCAAAGATGCTTTTTCAAGAGGAACTTTCTGATTTTTCTCTCAGCTGAGAGCTAAAGAAGCTTCTTGGATGAGAAGTGAAACATCTTCAAAGAAAATCCAGAAAATCCAGTTGCCTCTTAAAAAAGCACCTCTGGGACAGCAGTGGGATTCAAAAAATTTTACTACTGGCTCTGTGGGTGTGGTTTGGTGGGCATGGTGTGGTTTGGTGGCAAGGCTTGGTGGGGGTGGCATGGTGGGGGTGGTAGGGAAAGAATACTGTAAAATCTCCATTCCCACCCCACTTCTGGGGGAAGGTTATTGCAAAATCCAATTCCCTCCCCATCCCACTAACCTGCTTTCCAGCTCCGTTCTCCTGTGCAGGGCAACAAAATAAGACCCAGTCAACCAGCTGGGACTCAGGAGGCAGATAATAGATGGGGCCGGGCCAGGCAGAGGTGATATTTGCCTGTTTTCCAAACAACTCAAAATTTCCGCTACTGGTTTTCCAGAACTAGTCAGAACCTGCTGAATATCACCTCTGCTTTGGGACAATCATGACCTGGATGGTTGAGAATCTCCATATATGTTTCTAGATTAAGGTCTAAGCATCAGACAGAATCAGTTCTGATTAGTTAGTGACTATTCTAACTCAAGTTCTGAAGTATGAAAATCTATCTTTTAGGCACTTAACCTGCATTTGATTCCATGGCCATCCTATTTTGCTGAATCACATAGGAGGGTTGGGAAGCAAGGGATATTTACAATAGCCATGCTCTTACCTTAGCAGTTCCAGAATGTAGAATGGGGATAAGAGCAGTCCAGCACACAGCTTCTCCACTACGGGATACCATAACATTTGGCTGTCTCTTTTGCTATAGAAAGCTGCAAATATGAGATGAGCAATGTATCATCAGTTTGTTTGTTTTTAATTCTATATTATAAACCATCCCGAGTTTCAGGAAATGGGCAGTTCATAAAGATGTGTGTGAATGTACACTCATACATATGTGCATACATTGAGTAGCTAGCATTTATTCTAGGAATCAGTTAAAGTTAGCTGAAGTATATTTGTTCAGTTGTTCTAAATAAATGTAGATCTTTGTAGATGAAAATATATATGGAATTACATATATATTCAGATAATACAACAAATTTGATTTTTTCTCTCCATTTATTTCAGATTACCTACAAGGCTGTTGGATCTCTAGATCCTACTGCTGATTTGTTGAACCAGAGAGGAAAAGTCTTCAAACTAAGAAATGAAACTCACCACCTTTTTGTAGGGTTATACCCAGGAACTACCTATTCATTCACAATTAAAGCCAGCACAGTAAAGGGTTTTGGACCTCCCATCACCACACGGATTGCAACTAAAATTTCAGGTATTACTATTAAGGGGAAAATGGCATGCTGAGAAAATTCAGTTTTTGACTTTGAATTTGGTAGATAGAGGGAACATAATTAGTATTCTGTCAAAGTCAAAGCAATTAGCATCTTGGGCTGTATTTTTTAAAATGTTCCTACGGGGAAAATAATTTGTCAGATTTCTCATAAAACAGTGAGACAACCCTGTCATTTAACATTGTGCACTTTAATAAATAATAAGATGTAGTGTGGGGGGCTTTTTGTTTTGTTTTGTTTCCAGCTAAGCATTGCTTTCTGAATCCATTTAATTTTAAACAGAAATAGATCTAGAATGATTCAAAACATTCCTTTCATCACTAAACTATGTGAAATCTGCAGATGCACCTAGCAACAAAAAATGTCTATAACTGTGTTCCTGCCCGCTGTGCATTTATGTAAAACATTTTCATATTCATGTACAAAGAAATTATAGAACTGGCAGGCTACAACACATTGCTTCTTTTGCTTTAATATTATTCATTTGAAATTATTAATACACAATATTGAGATTTCAAGAAATGAGCTTAATTTCTTTTATTGACTTTACATTTTGTGCCTGAAGGGGGTCTGCTCACACAAACTGTTACATTTAGAAACAGCTTCTTGCAGAAGACAGCTGTAAATGAAGATGTGAAATTGGAAAGAGAGCAAGAGATATTTAATCAAACATAAAGGAACATGGAGAGAAAAATAGCAAGAAAACCAGTTCTTTTTAATTGGATTGAAAATTCACTACTACAAAAGAACAAACCACATCAAAAAGCATTTTGTATTTGATTCCCTTCTACTGGTTGCTTTACAGAAACATAAATATTTCTGTTGTTCCACAGCCCCATCAATGCCAGAATATGATACTGACACCCCTCTGAATGAAACAGAGACCACCATTACAGTCATGCTGAAGCCTGCACAGTCTCGTGGTGCACCAGTCAGGTAAAAATAAAAAATCTCCTTGTTTAGTCAAAAATGCCATGACACGTGTCATTCCACATTTCTAGATTATGAAAAGGAAGAATTATAACAAAACAAAGAAAGCTACAATAAGACCCTTTCCCCAGGGAACCATTGAAAGTTACAGAGAAAGTATCTCTAAAAATAAATTCTGAAATTGATGGTGATTGCACTGTGGTCCAAAAGACTGAAAATTCTATGTTCTCTGGGGCATGAAAATGTGAAAGAATTCCCCAAAGGTTCCTCTGAGATATAATTTAGGCATTCTGCTCTCTCTGGATTTCATAGCAGAATGAATGTTAGTGTCAAACCATGTCTGCTAGTATTCATTTTCCCCTATCAAAAATTCCACACATAAAATATGCACATAAAAAAGTGCTATTGAAAGTTGTGGGCAAAATGCTGTGGATCAACTTTGAAGGAGCACTCACCCTTTTTTCAAGTTTTGTAGAACTAATTTTTCAAAGCATAGGTACGTTATTATAGCTGTTTTTTAAAGTGAGAGTTGAGAAGCTACCCTTTTTAGTTTTGAGCAATTAAAACTATCCACAAGTAGTAGTTCTGTGACTTGATCCCTATATGGGGGGATGGGGGAGTCAGAGGCACAGGTGAACTTACACAGTGCCATTCTGAAAACTATTTAAGGCAATCATATGATACAGCCAGTTAAATCTGCTCTGAATTGTATTTCAGTTGTATGGGTCTTTTGGACCTGATGTAGACACAATCTGTCTTGGTTAACAAGGAACACTGTTAGTCATTTTTAGGCAAGATTGTTGATAAGGTGATAAGTTTGCAATTTCAGAAGACCCAGGAATAAATAAATTATCTGGATTGTTTTCAGACTGTTTTCTGACTATAGTACTAAGATAATATTGGTCACCCTTGTAGATGACCCTTAGTAGATTTACTGGGATGGGAGTTGTGTATCTAACCTGTTTTTCACTATTCCCTGAGTGGCCTTCAAAACACAGAATCCTTCTGAAATTGCTTTGAAGTGAGGTGCACGATGTTATAATTCTGTACACCTTATCAGAAGTGACTCTGGGTGATGCACAACAATAAATTAAATCATAATATTAAGACACCATTATAAAAACAATCATTATAAAATGCACACAATCAATATTAAAATAATTAAAAATGAAAATATACAAGCCACAAATGGAGAAAAAATATAGTTAACCACATATTACCCACAACAAAAACGTTGCCAGTTACCTGGGACTTCCAAGCCTGATGATTTAACCACATCTTGAGGGACTATCTGAACATTAACAGGGATGGAAGCTCTTCACGGCACAGAGTCTGCAAATGTGCTTTCTTGATTACAGCTTTTGACTTTTGGAACAACCTATCCACAAGATTTGCATGGCCTCCAAAGCCATTTCTGTAGGTCTCTATAAGGCTTTGAAAACTTGTTTTTTTCATCCAGCCATTGAGACAAAACTGAATAAGGCCTGCCTGAAATTATTTGGGAAATGCTTATTTGAAGATTGATTGCAGTTTGGCCTCAGTTATGTTTTATGTAGTTTTATGTTTATCAAATATTTTTGTACTTTTAATCCTATATAAACCACTCAGTGTCAAAATTTCAAGCTAGAGCGCCTTATAGGGAGGATGGGTGGATGAATGCATGTAATGTTTTTTAATCAGCTGGTGACAATATGAAGAAGAAAGGTAGGGGACTCAGTCTCTTGCATAACACATGATGCACATGCAGAATCAGAGCATTAGCATTCACCGATGATAGAACAGATGCCCCAGAGGCAAATAGAAACTAACAAAGGATAGCAACTGTCCTGCCACTCTAGTTTTTTGCAGCCTAAAAGATGGTGAAAAGAACTCTAAATGAGCAGTGCAATCTTTATCTGTTTTAACACCGGGTTATAAAATTAATCTGGTGTTAGAACAGATAATGCTATTGCTGCTACACCAAGTGTTTTAATTTCCTAATTGACCTACTACAAATATGGAGTAATAAAGCTCTTATCTTGCTTAACTAATGAGAGACACACTAATACTGCAGTTGTTAGCTATAATAGAGTTAACATAGTATGTTTTACATCTAAGGTGCTAGTTCCAGGATGCATCTAATAACCTATCCTTCAAATTTTATCTCAGACTAATATATGCATATTTAGGATTGGTAAATGTTTGAACACTTCTTCTATTACAATAGCCCAAATATTTACAGAATTTTATACATACCTCCACCAAAAAAAATCCATTATATATTTTCAGCGCATCAGTAATATTATGCATTGGTTGAAATCAATATTTCACTTTCAAAATAAAAATAACAATAGCACTTAGACTTATATACCACTTCACCATGCTTGGTTGACCTAGAAAGAGTGCAGAGAAGAGCAATAAAGTTTAATAGGGGTCTGGAGGCTAAAACATAGGAATAATGGTTACAGGAATTGGGTATATCTAATTTAATGAAAAGGAGTGACATGATAGCAGCTTTCCAATATTTAAAGGGCTGCCACAAGGAAGAGGCTCCAAAGCACCTGAAGTTAGGACAAGAAGCAATGGATGGAAACTAATCAAAGAGAGAACCAACCTAAAACTAAGGAGAAATTTCCTGACAGATCAAACAATTAGTTGTGGATGCTCCAACAATGGAGATTTTTAAGAAGAGACAAATTTGTTTGAAATGGTATAGGATTTCCTGCTTGAGAAGAGCTTTGGATTAGAAGACTTCCAAGGTCCCTTCCAACTCTGCTATTCTGTTATTTTGATCCAAGTGATTTGCTATGTATAAGTCTGTAGGAATTCATATCAATCACCAGAATATACATTTCTTATTAAGATAACAGTAGCTGTAGATCAGATCATATTTGAGAAGATACTCTGTAATATTTAAACATTTCAGATTCTTAATATAAAAGAAGATATTTAATAAAGTGATTATCACTTTTCCAGAGAAATTAACAGATTTTCTGGGGAATACTTAAAAACAAAATGTATTTCCCTACTATTTTTTTAATGAATAAATGACAAAGTACTCATTTTTATTAAAACTAACATATTACGTTTGTATTGTGATTGTGTTTGTCAATTAGCAAACTATATACAGTGATTACTATATGTTGTTGGAGACCAGAATATACTATGTTATATATTATATATCTTTCCTTTCTAATTTTGTTCTGCCTTCTGATTTAAATTTTGCTATTTTCTTTTTTTTATTGAACAGTTTTAAAAACAAAAAAACAAAACAAAATTAAGCTCCCTCTTGTAAATCAATAAGCATCTATCAAAAACTGTGTGAAAGTATTTCTGAAAACCTTGTTCCTTTATAGAATCATCTGTAAAAATAATTGAAATGTCAATGCAGATGTCTTCATATAAATACATACAAACATCCAATATGTGAGAAGCCTATTATAATGAATGTTTTCTCCTCATACAAGTAGATTCAGTTGCAAAATCAACATGAGTCTTTCCTTTTCTCTGATTTCCACCCCAAATTGGACTTCACATGCTCTTTCGTTAAATCCACTTTCTATTCATTCTATTAGAAGATTTGTTGATCTGCAAATATTGAAACTGCTAATCTGTACGCACCCTCCCTCCCTCCCTCCCTTCCCTCCTCCCACATATGGAACATTCAGAATCCTCCCACTTTCTGAGCTAAAAGCTCAGCCATGTTTTGTATTCATTGCTTTTCCATGTATACACATGAAGTAACTACAGCAAATTTTCAAAACATTTTTCTATGTGGATTCTGACCAAACACATTAATTTTTAGGTCTCAAAATAGCTCTTATCCCCTTTCATCTTATTCATTCACTTTACATAACAGATTAATATTTTCCCCATTGCATTCATTCAAAATAAATCACAGAGTAACAGACTTGGAAGGTCTTGGGCGATCTTCTAGTCCAACCCCCTGCTTAAGCAGGAGACCAACTGAGAATTGAAGAAAAAAATAGAATAACAGAGTTGGAAGGGACCTTGGAGGTCTTCTAGTCCAACCCCCTGTGTAGGCAGGAAACCCTACACCACTTCAGACAAATGGTTATCCAACATCTTTCTAAAAACTTCCAGTGTTGAAACATTCACAGCTTCTGGAGGCAAGTTGTTCTACTGATTAATTGTTCTAACTGTCAGGAAATTTCTCCTTAGTTCTAAGTTGCTTCTCTCCTTGATTAAGTTTCCACCCCTTGCTTCTTGTCCTGCCCTCAGGTGCTTTGGAGAATACCTTGACTCTTTTTCCCCAAAAACACATTTTATTATTTGATTTTTCAACAATCATTATTCCTTGGAATGTAACATCCAGCTATCGTCAAAATACACATTTCTATTTTTCATATACACCTACTTACGTCAGAAAACATCAATTTATACTTCTAGAGACATATTTCAGCCTGTTAATGCTTAATTAAACCCTTTCTGTCATTTCATTCATGTATTCATCAGCATAATTCAACATGATCAGGCTATTTTTATTCCGGTCATTACTTTCTCTACTTTCTCCTATTTTCCAGACATAAATTTACCTATTCCTTTATTTTTGATTGTTCTTTTATTTAATAATAATTTGTACCTCTTACATTCCAAGTGAAAATCTTTCCAATACTGAAGATGTGCTAAAAGATTTTTTATCTTAGCTGCCAATCATAGCTATGTCTGAATTGATAAAAAAGCTTTCTTGCTAAGAAAGATATTTCTTCTATCAGCATTTTTCATCTTTTCACATGCAACATTTTTCCTGACAATAACAATAAGTTACCTTTGGTATGATAGCCTCAAAATTCAGTTCCCACCAACTAGGAAGTATATGCAGTGTACTATCCCATACTGAGGATGAATCCATCAAATTAATTAAAAATGAATTATCACACCTTTCTATTAGAATAATGCAAACTGGGTAGGATATGAATAACTTGCTAGAGTAGAGTAGATTTTACAGCTGAAGACAGATGTAAAATTTACCGTCTGCTTTTGGTGTGCAATGAGCAATAATTGTC